ATGTGATAGAGCCGTAGCATCTTATTTTCCTTAACATTTTGAAAGCAAAAACATCAAATGGTAACTGTATTAAAACAAATTGTACATGTTGAACAGAGAGCAGAAGTTATTTCCAAATTGAAGTACAGGAAGCTTTAAAATGCTTGTTCATCCTTTATCAGCATTACTGAATGAATCAGCAAGTTGCAAAGGTCAGCAAACCTTTATTTTGAATTACAACAACAGCATGTATTTCCAAGAATATGGCAAAATTCAGGTATAACATAGGAATCTAAATTTGATGTCAATAAATTAACAGAATTTTAGATGTGGAAGGTTCCTTGTGTGGTGGTGTTGCCTTTTAGGTTTGAGAAATGTTAGAAGATCACTAACAGATGTTAGATGGCTCTGTGCCATTCCTTAATCATTATGTTATTGGGTAAAAGGGGATTACTGACCTCTTAGATCGCTTTCCGGATTAGGAAAATTGATTTTCAGATTAACTTCCTGTAGCACCCCATACTGATGAGGCCAAGGTCATGGCCATCTTTCTTCATGAAAGTCTGTTGTACTGGCTGTGTTTATAATTGCCAAGTCTTGTTCTTTGGCCAGTTGTCCTATAGATCTGTTTCTAGCTCCCGAGGTGGGCTCCCTTTTGGGACTCTTGGAAAAGCTATCCAAGAACTTTTCTCTGAGTGCTTGGCTTAGGGGCACTGCTCCTATATATGCTAGAATAGCTGATTGCACAGTGTTTTGAGAGACAATGTAGATGATCTAGGTTTTGGATTTGTAGTAAGTATGTGAATTCATTCATTCAAAAGCAAGTTCCTACATTGAGTCAGGTACGGTTATGTCCTGTGATTGAGTTATGGCAGTAAACAAGTCAAGGGAGAGTTTGACATTTAAGCTAAGATCTACAAGGTGAGGGGTTAGCCAGCTGAGGAGTAGGAGAAGTGCAGGTGGCAGGCACAGCATGTTCAGACGCCCTGAGGTTGAAAGGAACTGGTTCTTCAGGATGGAAGGAAGGATGGTGAGGCTGGAGAATAGCAAGAGAGGGAGACAAAGGCTTGAGATGAGGCTGGATTAATTCAGGTCTGGAGGATAGGCTAAGGATTTAGAATTGATCTTAAGGAATTTGGAAGACACGTTAGGTGGCAAGGGAGAAATCACTTTGTTGTGGGAGAATTGAGGATCTAGAGGGGCTTCGGGGGGGGGGGGATGAAGCTTTCATTATTAAGAGCAGCTGGTATTCACTATTTGTTTGCTATAGGCCAGGCAATATGCTAAACTCTACCCTCATTGTCCATGTAGACCTCACGACAATCCAGTGAGGAGATGGTGGTGTTATTCCCGTTTTACAGGTGAGGAAACCAAGACCTAGCCAGGTGAAGCAGCTCACCGAAAGGTCATAAAGCTAGGAAATGGCAGAGCTGAGATTTGAATTTAGACAGTGTGTGATTCTAGACTGTGTATTAGCCACCGGACTGTGTTTTCCATGCCTGAGATGATGGTCATTAGTGGTTCTTGAAATTGAATGGATCACAACTAGATTTTTTTTTTTTAATAGAACAGAGTAGAAATGAGAGTACTTTGCACTAGCAAGGATAAAATATTGATATATGAAACTTAGTTTCACTTTTATTTAATATATTTGTACATGTGTGGGCTTATAAGCCATTACAAAAGGCTGAGCAGCATTTGTCTAGACAAGAGCCAGTGATGGCTTGGACCAGAACTGTGGCAGTGCAGATGGAGAGAAGTGGGTCTCAGTGTTTAGAGGCAGAAGGTAGCAGGTCTCAGTAAGAGATTGGCTACAGGGGCTAAAGAAGGTATCCAGATGGGTCTCTGGGAGCAAGACCAGCCATGATATGCACATGCCTTTAAGTGCTTTAAGTGAGACACTTTTTTTTTTTAAAGATTTTATTTATTTATTTATTCATGAGAGACACACAGAGGCAGAGACATAGGCAGAGGAAGAAGCAGGTGTCCTACAGGAAGCCTAATTTGGGACTCGATCCCAGGACCCCAGGATCATGACCTGAGCCGAAGGGAGATGCTCAACCACTGAGCCACCCAGGTGTTCCAAGTGAGACACTTCTTAGAGGGGTCCTCTTCAGTGACTGTTTGTTGTACTACCTGGATCTCTGGCTTCTCTCAGCTGTAGCTGATGGGGCTTGAGGTTGGCATATCACCCAACCTGTATCTCACAGCAAATCTGTAAGCTGGCAGTGAACTTATGAAGTGACCTGTCACCCCAAACTGCCTAAACAGGAGGGTTGAGCCAAGAATACCCTTTGTGGAATTCGAGGTGCGTAGTAGCAGTTGAGGCCACAGGTAGGCTGACGGCAGCTCCAAAGTGAAGGTATGGGAACTGTTTGGGCTGTAGTTTCCTTGAGGATCCAGAGTACCTTTAGGTTGCAGTGTTAAAGAGTCCAGAATCCTCTTTTTGAAGTTCAGGCCCAGTTCATTTGCTTTTGGCTTCTTCAGAGGCCCATTTCCCTATTTTTGTGCACAGCCTTTTAGTAATACCTGGCTCCCCACAGTACTGCAGTGACTTTCTATTCTGTGTGTTCAGCAGATACTAACTGGAGACAAATATGGAGCAGTCAGGTGCTTGGTACAAATCCTCATTTTGAGGATTTGTGGCCAAGATATTTCTTACTGAGCCTCGGTGAGGTTGGGATGATATAAGAGCATCCATGACATAGGACTATGGTGGAGAGTATATAAGATGAGCTATGTCAGCACCTCAGGCCAGTGCCTGGTACAGAATGATAGCTTAATGGATATTTGCTGTTAGTTGTTAGTGTCTTTGGGATAGTTTCTTGAGAGACTTAAACGTATTTATTAGCAAAGTCCAATGAGAAGAAGCTAGCATAAAGAGAGAATTTGGACGAGTGTGAGAAGAGAGTGTTAAGATACTGGGTTCCAGAGAAGCAAGGATGGCATGAGGTTAAGAGCAGACATTAAGGATTGTTTTGAATGTGAGAGGGAACTGTGGAGGTGGAAGGGGGTAGTATTTTCTAAGATTGGATTCCAGTTATGGTTGTCTACTGGGAGAGACACTCATTGAGGAAAAAAGGAAGGCTGTTGTCGAGAAGGGGGATATCAGGGTACACAAAAGTACTGGATAACAATGCTGAGTCCCTGAAATCGCACACCACAATTTTATGGTGGCACCAGCCTCTACGTTTTTATAGTTTTGCCTGCCTGTGTGATGTTTGGCAGAATGACAAGATGTAAAAGTAAGATTAGTCAAATTTTAAGGGTTTGCAAGGCAGATGCCAGAGAAGAATAAAGAGGCAGGGGACTTGGGTGCAGGGGCAGAGTACGGAAAGCTGTTGAGTCCAGCTTGGCTGGGGAAGGTACACAGTCTTAGAGACAGTGGAGGGCAGTGGTCTGTGTGGTATCACACACACACAGTGTACATGATCTCTGAATGACAGTTCTTCCTTACTATTCCTAACTTTAATTCCTTGTGTTGATAACTGAAATATTAAGACCAATCGCTAAGAGGATTTACTACTCTTTCGAAAGGGCACCACCCAAAAGTCGAGTTAGTTCTAGGATCTAATTTTGAAGCTGCCATGATTTTATGTGGTGTGCTGAATCAGTAAATGATAGGTTGTGAGTCTTAACCTGGGGTAGAGTTTAACCACATAATGAGACATTTTATTTTCATTGACTACTTCTGAGGAACTTAACATTTTAGCTATATTGAGCACTTCAAAGATAAACACATAAGTAGGATAGAATTTATAGATGCATTTCATGTGTTTGTGACTAAAACCGCCCGTCTTTGAGGCAGAAGTCACCCATGATCTGGGCCTGGTGTGCCTGAACTTTAGTAGTCCTCTTATCTCCTTTCATTTTTGTTGGCATATAGAGAGTCTGGAAACAATAATGTTTATTCAGTCACTGAACTTTTGAGAACCTTCTTGTTTCAGGCAGTGACTTAGTTCAGAAGAACAAAAGTCAATGACGGGATTGATACCTGTGAGGAGTTTCTCAGCCTGGTCATCATGCCATAGTGGGGTTGGGGGTTGCTCACCACTGCCCATTGGGCTCTGGAAGAAAATACCAGAACTTAACTTCTAATCTCTTACTTTCAGTCTCTGTGTGTTTTATAATATGTAATATATAAGAATAGTAGTAGTACATGATTAAAAATATATAGACATACATATATTGTGACTATCCTCTTTTGCTAGTAGTTTGTACATGCTCAAAAAATGGTTGGCAGTTATATGTCATATACTGAAAACGTATTCAAAATGTATTTTAAAATGCATATACATTTATGGTAACTTATGTTTGAACATTTTGAGAAAACCAAGAGATTCTGTGTATGGTAAAGCATGTTCTTAATGGTGAAATAGTTGTACTTGTTGCCTCTGTTTTGTAGTGTAAAGTAAGACTTATTACATAAAAAGACTTGTTAAGATCTGGCTTGACAAATTTGAGGCTTTTTTTCTCATGCCATTTTCTTCTTTATGTTGGAGGAACTTTACCTTATGTACAGTGTGTCTCTTCTTATAAAGCACCAAAGCCTCCTACCAGCTGTCAAATGTTGGGGAAAGGGGTAGAGGAATGGTGGAATGCCATATGCTTGCTCCACTGTCAGGCCCATCCCAAGGGTCAGGGGAACTATGCACATAGGCCCATTAACGTCATAAAGCAACAGGATTGGGATGCCACCCAGAAATTTCCTGGACCCGGTCTGTTTGCTCATTGGAGGTGTTTTCTCAATGTGAAATGTCTCACTTTCAGAGAGCTCTGAAATCCTTGGTTCAAAAAGTTCTTCCCTCCCTCATCCTGAGATCCTTTTTCCTAAAATTAGAAAAACTAAAACTTGCTGTGAAGAACATATTTTAAACGAAATGATAAATGTGTCTTAGGTTCTCTAGAGGCTTTTGTTTTCATTTCGTTTTTGAGATGAGTATTTTAAGTTATCTTTGACACTGTCATTTAAAAATACTTTTAACGATTATTTAAGTGCAATCTTACATGTATTTTTGCAGGATTGATGACGACTAGAAGCATGCTTTCACTGGACTTCCCGACACCATTTGTTATGCAGAATGTCTCTGAGTGAGAGCGCGGTTTTTGCCTATGAATCTTCCGTGCACAGCACCAATGTCTTGCTCAGCCTCAACGACCAGCGAAAGAAGGACGTGCTGTGCGACATCACTGTCCTCGTGGAGGGCCAGCGGTTCCGCGCTCACCGGTCTGTGCTGGCGGCATGTAGCAGTTACCTCCACTCGAGAATTGTAGGCCAGGCCGATGCAGAGCTTAACATTACTCTACCAGAAGAGGTGGGAAAGGGGTCTATGTTTCTGGAAGTCACCCTGATTTTAATTTAATTGAACCTAATTAAATCTCTTTATAGTTATAAAATTAAAAATAAAAATGTCCTTCTTGTCATATGGCTGAGGAGTCATTCCCTGATTCTGCAACTCATTGCTTTAACTTTTCTCGTGGAAATTATGACATTTCACATGTAGAATTGTTAGCTTAGTTTTTTGAATTGTTAGTTTTGGATGTTAGTTAACAATACTTAGCAGTTGAATAACTTGACCCATTGTTATGTTACTTTTTTTTTTTTTTAGAGAGAGAGAGAAAGAGAGTGCACATGCGTGTAAGGGAGGGGCAGCAGAGGGAGAGGGAGAAAGAGAATCTAAAGCAGGCTCCTTGCCCAGCATGGAGCCTGTGGCAGGGATTGATCTCACAACTCTGAGATCCTGACCTGAGCTGAAATCAAGTGTTGGTCACCTAATGGAATGAGCCACCCAGGCACCACCCCTCATCCTCTTTTTTTTTTTTTTTTTAAAGATTTTATTATTTATTCATGAGAATACACAGAGAGGAGACAGAGAGGCAGAGGCACAGGCAGAGGGAGAAGCAGGCTCCATGCAGGGAGCCAGACGCAGGACTCGATCCGGGGTCTCCAGGGTCACACCCTGGGATGAAGGCAGGCGCTAAACTGCTGAGCCACCCGGGCTGCCCTCATTCTCTTTTTTTTAACGTAGGCTCCACACCTAGTGTGGAGCCCAGTGTTGGGGCTTGAATTCACAACTGTGAGATCCAGACCTGGGCTGAGCTCAAGAGTCAGATGCTTCACTGACTGAGCCACCCAAGCACCCTGTGTTATTTTTTTGATAAAATGGCCAAAGCAAGGCACAGCTAGTAGATTATAGATTTTGGGAAAGGTCATGCTCAGAGTGGCCACCCTATGTCATATTCTCTCCCTTTGGACCTTTTCCTGTGATGGGAAATTGAGTGGGTTTAGGGTTCTAGGAATCCTCCATTATTTAAGACAAGGCCTCATGGAAAGTAGGTACTCCATAAGTGTCCTGTTCCCCCTTTCTTCTTTCTTGAGTTTGTTTCTATGCATTGGTAAACAAAAGATGATTTTGTGTCATAAAGCTTGGTTTTATGCATCTGTTTCCCACCAGTCTATTGTGGAGCTCAAGCACCTAAATGTTTCTATCCTTGTTATGTCCTGCCTCAGGAGACCTCTCACAGGACTGGGAAGCACTCTTATTAGGATAGCTTGCTTTTATTTAATTAGTAACTGCAACTAGAAGAGCGTTGAGCCGTGTGGAATTGGGACACAAATCAGAAGTTGTTAAGAGGAGTTTGTAGAACTTGTTCTGTTTATGACAGATCTCTGTGAGATACTCTGTGATGGATACTAAGCCTACAGTTTAGCTTATGCTGGCCACCCATCCTTCTGTGAAATTTTAGCTGTACTTTGGGGAATCAACAGATTATCAGTTCAGTGTCAGAGGTCAGTGAATAAGGGAATACCAAGAAAATGATAAAGGCCAGTTACAGGTTAGCCATTACTTTTTAAAAGTAGCAGCACATGTCATAATGGCAGTTTAATGTCTTTACCTCATGTGAATAAAACTGTAATTCATGCATCTTTAAGAGTGGAATCTATAAAGTAAAGGTTATGGTTCCAATGAATGGGTGTGATAAGCATGCTTTTCCAGACTCCTAGTAGCTTTACATTTTCTGGAAGAATATTTTTACATACCAAATTAAAAATACCCGTTGTGTAAGGATCACAAATAAGTTACTCATCTCTCTATTCCCCTTCTACTTTTATTTATCTATTAGACCACTTTCAAGTGATGCATCTGTTTTTATTTTGTATATTAACAGGTGACAGTTAAAGGATTTGAACCTTTAATTCAGTTTGCCTACACTGCCAAGCTGATTTTAAGTAAGGACAATGTGGATGAAGTGTGCAAGTGTGTGGAATTTTTAGGTGTACGTGACATTGAGGAATCCTGCTTTCAGTTTCTCAGATTTAAGTTTTTGGACTCCACTGCTGACCAGCAAGAATGCCTAAAAAAGAAATGCATGCCATCACACTGTCAAAAATCAGACCTTAAATTTTCACTTTTGGACCAGAGGGATTTAGAAATTGACGAAGTGGAGGAATTTTTGGAAAATAAAAATGTTCAGACTCCTCAGTGGAAACTGCATCGGTATCAAGCAAATACAAAAGTATCATCTCCTCTACAAGACAGTGCCAGTCAAACCTGTGAATCCATGTGTTTAGAAAAGGATGCTGCTCTGGCTTTGCCATCTTTATGCCCCAAATACAGAAAATTCCAAAAAGCATTTGGAACTGACAGAGTCCGTACTGTGGAATCCAGCGTCAGAGATGTTCATGCTTCTTCTGTTCAGCCGAATGAGACATCTGAAAATGAGTGTCTGGGAAGAATCCAGGACTGTGCAGATCTGCAGGTGATTTTAAAATGTGAAGAAAGTAAATCAGCAACAGAACATGAAGAAACCAAGAAGAAAGATCCTGCTTCTCAGTGCCCGTCAGAAAAATCAGAAGTGACTCCTTTCCCCCACAACTCATCTGCAGACCCTCACGGGCTCTATTCTCTGTCCCTTTTACACACCTATGACCAATATGGTGACTTGAATTTTGCTGGAATGCAAAACACAGCAGTGTTAACAGAAAAGCCTTTGTCAGGTACAGAGGTTCGAGAGGAGAAAACATTTGGTGAAAGTCAGGATTTACATTTGAAATCTGACTCTGGCCCCAGGGAAGATAGTAGCCTTGCCTCTAGTGATCGGAGTAGTGTGGAACGCGAAGTCGCAGAACATCTAGCAAAAGGCTTCTGGAGTGACATTGGCAGCACAGACTCTTCTTGCCAAATGCAGTTATCACCTGCTGTGGCCAAAGACAGTTCTGAACAGATCTACTCACAGAAGCGGTCAGAGTGTCCCTGGTTAGGTATCCGGATTAGCGAGAGCCCCGAGCCGGGACAGAGGACTTTTACAACGTTGAGTTCTGTCAACTGCCCTTTTATAAGTACTCTGAGTACCGAAGGCTGTTCAAGCAATTTGGAAATTGGAAACGATGAGTATGCTTCAGAACCCCAGCAGGAGCCTTGCCCATATGCTTGTGTGATCAGCTTGGGGGATGACTCTGAGACCGATACCGAAGGTGACAGCGAACCCTGTTCAGCCAGAGAACAAGAATGTGAGGTGAGGGGAAAATGTGTTCTTAAGTCCTTGCTTTACAACTAGTAATTGGGGTTCACTCTGTGCCAGCTCCTGTTGCACCACTAGGGACATATGAGCAGGCTCAGGGAGGGAGGAGGAGGAAACCCACAGTTATAAAACCACGTGATCAGTACCAAAAGAGTGACAGAGTTTGAAGGACATGTTTGTTTATTTCAAGCAGGTATATTTATGTTTGCCCCGGAGAGGATTCACACTTGGGCTGTTGAATTGTTTAAATCAAATACCATGTCCCAGGAGGGGGGAAAAATGATTCTGTGATTGGCAAATGGTAACTCCTGGAAAAATGCAACATATATTCCAATCTTATTCATTGCCACAGGATCTCTGGGCCTGGGACTAGTCACTTAGCAATGACTTAGCAGTGACTAGGTGTAGGAATGTGGCTTCTAATGCAGTTTTCTTTGCCTTAGTTTTTTAGAGCCAGTTAACTTTTTTCTTATTTTCCCTTAGCCATTTCAGCTAATAATAATTTAGCATGAGTGACACGTACCTGGTGTGGTGATTAACCACCAAGCATGATCTGTGTACTTTGTGTACAAATGTTTGTATTTGATAGCTGCTTTTCTGTAAAACATTACCATAATTCTGGTGATAATAAAGGCTTGTTCGTTCTTTATCATTTTCTTTAGGTTTCTAGCTATTGGGTGACATGGGTTTAAAAGAGGGACAGAGGTTTTCTTTTTTTTTTTTTTTTTTTTTTTTTTTGTCCCCTTGGCTTTGAAAGGAAGTTATTGGTGATTTAATTTAAGAAGTAAATGTATGCATACAGATTTGTATGTGGCATTTATAAATCCAATGTTTGGAACTATGAAAAGAATGTTAAAAAACAAAGCATTTAAGACATTGAAAAACATTGTATATAATTAGTTTCTGTAAGTTTGAAACACAAATTAAGTAGGTTCTCAGAGAAACTGATCAATGTTTTGTAACATTTTTGATGATTAGTATAATTGTCAATCAATTTATTTAAAAAATTATCTTTTTCCAAATTTAAGTATTTTGGAAATGACTTTAAAATATTCATAAGGCTTTTCTAACCATTTCTATATTGGAAAAAGTGAAATGTGTAGATTTTTAAGTTGGGTTATGTGAAACTACCACTCTCTTGGCAGAAAACTTAATTTTCTGAAATGCTTTAGAAATTACTAGTATAATTTATACCAGTGTTAAATCAGCTGCATGGTGATGTAAATCAAAGTATAAAACAGACTTTTTTTTTTTGTTTGGTTAAACACATTAAAAACACTTTAGAAAGAAGCTTAAAGGTATCTGTGGGTTATTAACATAACCCAGTAAAATAAATTCTGTTTTTTTTTGTTTTAAATACACGAATATTTGTGTTGTTTTTGATTTGCTAAAAAAAAAAGTGTTCTTCAATTTACTTGTCTTCTGAACTCTTTCTAAAATAGTCTAGAAATATCAAATTAACAGTCTTTACGTGATTACATAGATTTTGGAAATAGAGATCAGTTTCTTTTTTTAAGTCTAAATGAAGTTCTCTGGAAAATATAGATGTATACCTTCCTCTTCCTAGATTTAAGTATAACTCCATAGTGCGGCAACAATTACTAGTGTTTATTTTACATTCTAGGTAAAACTGCCATTTAATGCACAACGAATAATTTCACTCTCTCGAAATGATTTTCAATCCTTGTTGAAAATGCACAAACTGACTCCAGAACAACTGGATTGTATCCATGATATTCGAAGAAGAAGTAAAAACAGAATTGCCGCACAGCGCTGTCGCAAGAGGAAACTTGACTGCATACAGAATCTTGAATCAGAAATTGAGAAGTTGGTAAGTATATAAGTTTCTTGTTACTTAAATTCCACCACATTCATTCTTTTTTATAGAGGAAATTGCTATTTCAATTCCTAAGTCAGATACAATGCTCAAGTATACATTAATTTCAAAATTTACCAATTACCATTTTAAGAAAGCAAATTCTATGACATTTTGAGAAAGTTTAGGAAATAATAAAAAGAGCGTTTTCGTAGACTATTTTACTTGTGTGAGTACTTTACATATTTAGTGTGATATGCTATATTAAGTAAATTGAGAACTATTTCTGGGTGCTTTTTTAAAAATGATACACAAATTAAGGATAATCTTATTGTCTACCTAATTCTTTTTTTTTTTTAAAGATTTTATTTAATTATTAGAGACCGAAGGGGGGTGGGGCAGAGACACAGGCAGAGGGAGAAGCAGACTCCATGCAGGGAGCCTGACATGGGACTTGATCCGGGGTCTCCGGGATCACACCCTGGGCTGAAGGCGGCACTAAACCGCTAAGCCACCGGGGCTGCCCTCTTCCTAATTCTTTTTTTTTAAATATTTTATTTACTTATTTGAGGGAGAGCATGAGAGCGTGAGATAGCATGAGGTGGAGAGGGGAGGGCCCACAGAGAGAGGGAGAGGCAGGCTCCCCCCTGAGCAGGGAGACCCACAATGTGGGGCTCGATTCTGGGACCCCAGGATCATGACCCTAGCAGAAGGCAGATGCTTAACTAACTGAACCATCCAGGCGCCCCCATTGTCCACCTAATTCTTAGTGGTTAAGTAAAGATTAGAGAAATAATGAAACACTTTAATCTCTTTGTGCTGTGTTTGGTGTCTCTAAAAGCTAATGTTCTAGTTGTTCATTTAAATGAACTCTAGACTTAAATACAGCAAATAAAACAACATGGATCAGGATCCCTGGGTGGCGCAGCGGTTTGGCGCCTGCCTTTGGCCCAGGGCGGGATCCTGGAGACCCGGGATTGAATCCCACATCGGGCTCCCAGTGCATGGAGCCTGCTTCTCCCTCTGCCTATGTCTCTGCCTCTCTCTCTCTCTCTCTCTCTCTCTCTCTCTCTCTGTGACTATCGTAAATAAAAAAAAAAAAACAAAAAAAAAACAAAAAAAAAAACCACACACAACATGGATCTTTCATCTATGGGAAAAACTCATAGGCTGGTATGAATAGAAAATTTAAGATCTAATGAGACCCTAAGTGAGAAGAATACTTACTCTATTGAATCTTGTTATTTATTCCAGCATCGAAACACAAATTAAGTGAAAAATGGATTAATTTGCACCCATGTTCTCTGTTCCCCTAGTGGGTTGGCAGAAGGAAGTATCATATGAAACAAGACCACTGTGGTTAGAGACAGCAGGGACCCAGCACCTAGAAGTAGTAAAAACATTCTTTGAATATTTGGTTTTGAGTCTTTGTTAATTATTGGTGAAAGTTTAAAATTGTGATTGTAGCAAGTCCTCAAACACAAACATTCTAGCAACGGATAGCAATCATACAACAACATTTTAGAAAAAATGTCCAGGAGGTGCATATCCTTATTTAATGCTGTTGCTTTATCCAGGTTGTTATGATAATGTTGTGATTTCCTCCTTTGAATCCAGAAAGGATTCACACAGAATCCTTTCATCACAGAAAAATAAAAATAAAAAGCCAATCTGTGCCTTTATCTACCTTCAGAAAAGTGGAAAATTAAAAACTTGTTCATATATTGTCGTTGCTACCCTGTTTACCTGTTATATTAATTTGGACACTGGCTGTAAACAACAGAAACCATCTGAAGCATGAATGAATGAATCCGTGGATTTGTTGTAAGGATACAGGTGTGTCTCATGTAGAAGCCAAAGAATGGAGCAGGCTTTAGTTTAGAACAAGGGAGTAGAAAACTACCAGGAACCCAGAGAATCATCCCTCTTAGCCCATCTCTGATGCACCTGCTCACACTGCACTCCACAGGGTGACTCTCTGTGCTAAGTGCGTATGGGAAGAGTGGCTGCAGTGTGGCTCCTAAATAGTTTCACTCTCCTCTAGGGTCTAGTCCAGATGGACACTATGGTTTTAGTTCTAAATTCCCAAGAAAGTGAGCGCATCTAATTGGCTTATTTCAGCTCAGTGTCTTCTGTGACGAGAGAGCAAGGACAAATAGCAGCCAGGTGGCTGCCGAGAGCCCACTCTGGGCAGGCAGAGCAATTAGCCTGCCAGGGATCTGCTCACATAGATGTGCACCAGTCTGAGCTCAGCCCAGTCTCTGTCCTCCCCAGTATCACCAGTATCACTGGAGAAGGCATGCTAGGTTTTGTGTTTGGGTTGTTTTTTTTTTTTTTTTTTTTTTTTTGAGCAGAGTGACTTGCTTTGTGTTTTAGTTTCCTTGAACTCTGCCCAAGTCCATCATACTGCTCGCAGTTCTAGTGATTTATACAGGCACACTCTAGTTGCAAAGGGTAAGGGGCACTTGTAAAGTTCAGTCTTACTGCAGATGTCTCAGGTGAAAATAAGCAGAGTATGTGCTATTTATTAGCTTAGAGGAATAAGAAAGCTGGCCCTTTTCCTAGAAGGAAAATAATTTGAGCCTTAACATATTTTATTACATTAAGAAGTTTACTTGGAATTTAGACCCTGGTTATTGTATGATGTTATGGGTCTTGTCTTGCAAAGAGAGATGGCCATACTTTTATCACAGATTCGTATTTAGTATATGGAGAGCTGAGAATTTGGAGGACTATGGCAGATTTTTTTTTTTTTTAATTTGAGATGACACTCTTGGAAACAGGGACAATAGACAATATTTTCTCGTATTTATAGTCTGGGTGGTATTTAGCAAACCTATTTAAGGGTTTATATTTAGTAGTAAAACTAAACAGCCATGTAAATAAATATCGCCAATAAATGATTAGGTTAACATATAAATAAATGCATACTATAGGTTGCCATGGTCTGGTAATATTCAGGTGAAGGGTCTCATATTTTAGTAAGCTTTAGCCTCTGGCTATTGGCTATATAATTTTTGTAGTTTGTCCTAAGAGTAATAGGATAATAGACTGGATGGGTCAACACATGAAAAAAAGTGTTTTGATTACAGTAAGAATAGTGATTTAAAATGTCTTCAAGGTAGGTCTGTAGAGTAATGGTCATGTATAAAAGAGACTTTAATAGTCTTAATGTGCTGGGAAAGCCAGAGAGTGATGTTAGCTCGAATTCAGTAAATTAATGAGTTGTATTTCTCAACAAGAAGTTCTGTCAGAATCTAACTAGAACCTTTGGAGAAAAAGAGAGAATAAATACACATTTATTTGATGGGTAAATTGATGGTAATTACTTTTAACATTTATTTAAAATTTGATAGTATATTAGAAGTTAGGTGTTGATTTAGCATTGCATTTACTATAAGGATTTTGAATATGTATAATCTACAAACCAGTACAATTTTTTTTTTTTAACCAATAAAGTTCAAGACTCATTCAACTTCTGTTATGTGTTTGGCTTACGAAACTCTTATCTTTATAGAATTCTTTACAAGGTCCATATTTCTTTCTTTTTTTTTTTTTTTTTACTGGAACATTAATTCAGAAGTTAGGAAACAATAGGTTTCTATACCAGTTTGGCCTCAAGGAAAGGCAACTTTGAAATGAAAGGAACTTAACTTTTTAAAGCAAAGAATTACCAAAGTAGGGACGCCTGGGTGGCTCAGCAGTTGAGTGTCTTGCTTTTGGCTCAGGGCGTGATCCTGGAGTCCCAGGATCGAGTCCCACATCAGGCTCTTTGCCTGGAACCTGCTTCTCCCTCTGCCTGTGTCTCTGCTCACCCCCTCCCCCCTGTCTATCATGAATAAATAAAATCTTAAAAAAAAAAAAAAAGAATTACCAAAGTGTATTTTTCTTAGATGGCATCAAATATTGATTGATATCAACTTACAAGTGATGAGAAGTCTGAATAGTCACAAAAGCACTTGAACTCATATTGAGATGTGCAGACATTTTGTTTCATTGCCCTTGTTATTGTGATAGAATAGGAGTACAGAGACCGCATCTGGCCTTAGTGTTTTGCATCTTGTGGGGAAGATTGCAGTATTTCATTAAAAATAAACCTGTTTAGCACAGGTTAATAATAAACCACATGCTACTGGCTGCTCTACCCATATGCACACTGCCATCTCCAAACACACCCACTGGGCCCTTCTGGAATTTGCCCGTTGCCATTCCGTGATACCTTTGAGCAGCACACCTTGAAATGTGGTCTGTGGACCATTGGCATCAGAGTTATCTGGGGATGTCCTTAAAAAATGCACTTTCCTAAAAAAAAAAAAAAAAAAAAAAAAAAGGAAAGTAAAACGCACATTTCTTAGTCCTACCCCAGACCTATGAGAGGGGCCCCAGATGCATGTATTTTATAAATGTTTCCAGGGAAAATCTTCGTGCACATTAAAATTTGAGAGCCTGTTGGACTGGGACAGAATGTTCAGACAGAGGCTGGAGTCAAACAGCTGCAAAGTCTGCCTGGCCACTTGGTAGCTTTATGGCCTGGGGAAATTTTTTGCCTCTAATACCCACATTCCCTCATTGGTGATAAGGGGATAAGGATAGCATCTCCCTCAGGATGGGTGCAAAGATCACATGACATCAGGGATGGGAAGCTTTTGTATTGCTCAGCACATGTTCAGGGCTCAATAAATCTTAGTAGTTGTATTTTTAAATAAAAGTAGTTAGTTCTCTCCTTTCTGTGAGCGTCTGCTAAGCATATTAAATGTGCTGGGTACCAGGAAATCAGAGATAAATGAGATCTAGTCCTTGCCAATAAAATGCTTATATTCTCATAGGGAGCCAAGTTTATGTTCTCAGGTTTTCTTGACATTTGTCTTCCTCCCCTGCATTTTGAAAATTTCAAGCTTTTAGAAAAGTGAAATGAAGGATAAACAACCTCATGTCGATTCAACGATTATTGACATTTTGTCACGTTTGCTTCTCTGTTGGTCTTTCTGTGCAGGTGTGTATCCCTGCTCCAGATG